CACTATGGAAGTCAGTCTGGAGATTCCTCAGAAACCTGAATATAACCCTACCATTCAACCCAGCCATCCCACTCTTTGGAATTTACCCAACGGAAATTAAATTGGCCAAAAAAAAAGCTCCCTGCACCTTAATATTTATTGCAGCTCAATTCACAATAGCTAAGACCTGGAACCAACCCAAATGCCCATCAACAGTAGACTGGATAAAGAAATTATGGGACATGTACTCTATAGAATACCATACAGCAGTCAAAAACAATGAAACCCAGTCATTTGCAACAAGATGGAGGAATTTGGAAAACATCATGCTGAGTGAATTAAGCCAGTCCCAAAGGGACAAATATCATATGTTCTCCCTGATTTGTGACAACTAACTGAGCACCAAAAAAAGGAAACCTGTTAAAGTGAAATGAACACTATGAGAAAGGGTGACTTGATCAGCCCTTGCCCTGACTGTTGATGAACAACTTAATACGTTTTCCCTCTTAGTATTTTTGTTTTGTTTGTTCTACTTAATACTTTTGATTGAATACTTAAATCAATACACAGTTATTCTATCCAGCGCCGCGGCTCACTAGGCTAATCCTCTGCCTTGCGGCGCCGGCACACCAGGTTCTAGTCCCGGTCGGGGAAACCAGATTCTGTCCTGGTTGCCCCTCTTCCAGGCCAGCTCTCTGCTGTGGCCCGGGAGTGCAGTGGAGGATGGCCCAAGTGCTTGGGCCCTGCACCCCATGGGAGACCAGGAGAAGCACCTGGCTCCTGCCATCGGATCAGCGCGATGCGCTGGCTGTAGCGCACCAGCCGCGGCGGCCATTGGAAGGTGAACCAACGGCAAAGGAAGTCCTTTCTCTCTGTCTGTCTCTCTCACTGTCCATTCTGCCTGTCAAAAAAAAAATACACAGTTATTCTTAAGTGTTGAAACTTAACTGAAAAGTGATCGCTGTTAAATATAAGAGTGGGAATGAGAAAGGGAAGAGATGTGCAATTTGGGATATGCTCAAGATGACTTACCTCAAACAGTAGATTTAGAAACATACCAGGGTATTCCAATTCAATCCCATCAAGGTGGCATGTACCAATGCCATCTCACTAGTCCCAGTGATCAATTTCTATTCACAATTGATCATAATGATAGGACTATGAGCTAAAGGGATCACATAAACAAGAGTAGTGTCTGCAAATACTAGCTGATAGAATAAAACAGGGAGAGAACGATCCAACATGGGAAGTGAGATACACAGCAGACCCATAGAATGGCAGATGTCCTAAACAGCACTCTGGCCTCAGAATCAGCCCTTAAGGCACACGGATCTGGCTGAAAAGCCCATGAGAGTATTTCAGGCATGGAAAGCCAAAACAATCTGGCAAAAAACAAAAACAAAAACAAAACAAAACAAAACACACAAAAAAAACCCTAAATGAAAGATCTCCGTGAGTGAGATCCCAGTGGAAAGAACAGGTCATCAAAGAAGGAGGTACCTTTCTCTGAAGGGAGGAGAGAACTTCCACTTTGACTATGACATTGTCTAAATATGATCAGAGCTGGTGAACTCAAAAGGCTTCCATAGCCTTGGCAAGTCATGACAAGAGTCTAGGGTGATTACTGATGCCATAAACAAGAGTGTCAATTTGTTAAGTCAACAACAGGAGTCAGTGTGCACTTACTCCTCATGTAGGATCTCTGTCCTTAATGTGCTGTACATTGTGATTTAATGCTATAACTAGTACTGAAACAGTATTTTACACTTTGTGTTTCTATGTGGGTGCAAACTGTTGAAATCTTTACTTAATATATGCTGAATTGATCTTCTGTATATAAAGAGAATTGAAAATTAATCTTGATGTGAATGGAAGGGGGGAGGGAGTGGGAGATGGGAGGGGTGTGAGTGGGAGGGAAATTATGGGGGGGAAGCCATTGTAATCCATAAGCTGTACTTTGGAAATTTATATTCATTAAATATAAGTTAAAAAAAAAGGAAACAGCAACAGCTGATAAGGCAGAGGTGCAAGTATCAATATAGTGACCCAATTAGTATGAAAAACCACAGCAAAATGATGCCCCAAAAGGAACATAATAATACTTCAGAATAATACTCCAAAGAAAGGGAGATTGAGAAAATGTCTGAGAAATAATTTGGAGATTGATTATTAGGACAGATATTCAAGGAGATACTAGAGAAACACATAGTTAAAATTAGAGAACCAATGCATGACATAAATGAGAAATTCAGCAAAGACAGAGATCTTGAAAAAGAATTACAGAAAATATAGATGATGAACTCAGTGAGTCAAATTTTTAAAAAATCCAGTAAAAGCTACAGTGGACTAAAAATATAGTTGAAAGCTACCACAGGCTAGGTCAAGCAAAAGAAAATACCTTAAAGATAGGATTGAGGCGCTAGTGCAATGGCTAAGCCTCCGCCTGTGGCACTGGCATCCCATATGGGTGCTGGTTTGTGTCTCAGCTGCTTCTCTTCTGATCCAGCTCTCTGCTATGGCCTGGGAAAGTAGCAAAAGATGGCCCAAGAGCCTGGGCCCCTGCACCTGTGTGAAAGACCCAGAGGAAGCTCCCAGCTCCAGATCAGCTGGGAGGGATGGAAGACCTCTCTCTGTCTTTCCCTCTCTCTGTGTAACTCTACCTCTCAAATAAATAAATATTTAAAAAAAATACAAGTTTGAAACATCCCAATCAGAAAAAACATTTTAAGATAAAAGAAGACAGGTTTCAAAACTTATGGGACACCATTAAGTAGACAAATATTAATATTTAGCTAGAAACTTCCCCAATCTACAAAAAGGTGTGAATATCTACATTCAGTTGGCTCACAGAACCCCAAATAGACATGACAAGTTCCTGACTACAACACATTACACTCAAATTCTAGCAAGTACAAAACAGAGAATTTTCTTTTCTAGAACGTATAAGAGAATAGCACATCGCTTTTATGGAAATTCTCGGCAGATTAACAACAGATTTCTCAGCATCTTATAAATTAGAAGGAATGATATGTTCCATGTTCTGAAAGAAAAAAAATTGCCAACCAAGAATATTTTACACATTGAAGCAATGTTTTCATAAATGAAGGAAAAAGACTTTTAAATAGCAAGAACTAAAGGAATTCTTCATATCCAGATCAAACTTACAAAAGATGTTTAAGGGAGTCCAGACAGAAGGGTAATTACCATCATGAAGATATGTTAAAGTATAAAACCCACTAGGAAAACAACAAAGGATACTCAAAGTAAACAATAAATTTAAGTCATTACTTATATATTTATAATGAATATAAATGGACTAAATTCCTCCAATTCAGACTAGCTGAATTGATTAAAAAAAAAAAAGACTCAGTGATAGGCTTCTAGAATAAGTTACCTTCACCAGTAAAGACAGAGACTGAAAGTAGAAGGATATAAAAAAATAATCTGTGCAAATGGAAGCCAAAAGTGAGCAGAAGTAGCTATACTTCTAACAGACAAAACAGATGGTCAGATAAAAAGTGTAAAAAGAGAAAAAGGTCACAAAATAACTATCAAATGATCAATTCAGCAGGAAGATGCAACGATTTTAAATGTATATTCACCTAATTCTAGAGCACCTGATTTAGTAAAACCAACATTATTAGCTCTAAAGGGAAAAATAAGTACCAATACAATTATAGTGGAGGATTTCAACATTCCACTTTGATCAATAGACCATCCAGACCCCCCCAAAAAAAATCAACAAGGAAATGCCACTGCTAAAACTACACTACAGACCAAATGGATGTTACAGATACTTCATCCAAAAGCTGGTAATTAGACTACTTATTAGCCCCAAAACAAGTCTCAAAACTTCAAAAACATAGAATTCAGGTCATGCATATTTTATGACCACACAACAGAGTGACTATAGCTCAGCATGATATATTATATTCTGTATCAAAGACTAGAAAAGAGAAGCTGGTAGGTTCCAAACACAATGAAAAGGAAATGGAAATGCTAACTGTCTGGTATGATCCATAGACACTGTATATATAAATATATTACATTACTGCACTGTATCCTATAAAATTATACAAGTATGTGTTAATTGAAAACTTAACAATGTGATATTATAAAAATAGGCAGTATTAAAGGCTATGAAAGATGAAGTTCACAGACACAGCACATTATAATTCCATTTTTCCCAAACTTTTGAATCCCCTTGATAATTAATATGTTCTTCTTGAAAAGAGAAATACTCATTATGATATAAAGAATTACAATTTGGGGGCCAGCTCTGTAGTACAGCAAGTAAAGCCACAGTCTGAAACAGCAGCATCCCATATGGGTGTCAGTTTGAGTCCTAGATGCTCTACTTCCAATTCAGCTCCCTGCTAATGTACCTAGGAAAACAGTCGAAGATGGCCCAAGTAGTTGGGCCCCAGAACCATGTGGGAGATCCAGAAGAAGCCCTGGGCTCCTAATCGGCCCAGCTCCAGCCATTGTGGTCATTTGGGGAATGAACTGGCAGATGGAAGATTTCTCTCTGTGTCTTTTCCTCTTCCTCTAATTCTGCCTTTTAGATAGACAGACAGAAAGACAGATCTTTTTTTAAAAAGAAAAGGATTATAATTTTAGGAACAAGCATTGTGGTGTAGTAGGTTAAGCCTCAGATGGGATGTTAGTATCCCCATAATCTGAGTGTTTGATTCAAGTCCTGGCTACCCTGTTTCCAATCCAGCTTCCTGCTAATGCATCCAGGGAGGAATCAGATGATGACCCAAGTGCTTGAGCCCTTGCCAGCCATGTGGGAGACCCAGATGGAGTTTTGGGTCCTAGACTTCAGCCTGGCCAACCCTGGCTCTTGCAGGCATTTGAAGAGCAAACCAGTAGATGAAATAGCACTCTTTCACATAGATGAAAATAAACAAGCATTTAAAAAAGCAATTATAAATATAAAACTATTATTTTTAACATCTGCATAAAAGAAGTTGCTACCAAAGGTAATGACAACTAAAACTATTCATTTTTTTCCATACCTTGTTGTTTTGTCTTAATTTATTTAACTCCAATTTATATTTTTCTGCTTCTTCTACAGCTCTATTCAAGCGAACCTCTGTGGCACTTTGACTAGCGGCAGCCTGTTTTTGAAGTCTATTTTTATTTTCTAATTCCTGTATAGCAAAAAAAGAGAAAATATTTAAATCATGTTTCTTTTTATTATTTTACATCATGTTCACTCTCCATATTCTTTCCATTCTCCCAAATTTTATATATACACACACAGGACTTCAAAAAGTTCACAGAAAATATATTTTGTTTAAAAACCATGTATCGGTTTCAATATTTTTCTGCTGCCAAATGAAATTATCTTCAGTATTTTACTTCAAAGTTACGTAGGAAGCTAGAGGCTAAGCACTAAGTGATAAAAGTCTCAGGAAATTTTTTTCCCAAATTGGTATTAGAAAAACATACATGTAAAAAATTTAGTCATAGGACTGGCATTATGGCCCAGCAGGTTAAGCCACTGCTTACAATGCTGGCATGCCATGTGATCACAGGTTCAAGTTCCAGCTGCTCTTCTTCTACCTTCCTGTTAATATGCCTGTGAAGATAGTAGAAGATGGCCCAAATAATCCCACATGGAAGACCCAGATAGAGTTCCTGGCTATTGACCTCAGCCCAGCCTAGACCTGGCTCTTGTGGCCATTTGGAGAGGGAACCAATAAATGGAAGATCTCTCCCTCTCTCAGTGTATGTACCCACTCTGTCACCTTCTCAGTTGCTCTTCCTTTCAAATAAATAATCTTTTGCAAAAAAAAAACATAATCATGCTCTAGGCGTTCGAATTTTTTTTTTTGACAGGCAGAGTTATTGAGAGAGAGAGAGAGAGAGACAGAGAGAAAGGTCTTCCTTCTGTTGGTTCACTCCCCAAATGGCCGCAACGGTCAGAGCTGTGCCGATCCGAAGCCAGGAGCCAGGTACTTCCTCCCAGTCTCCCATGCAGGTGCAGGGCCCAAGCACTTAGGCCACCCAGCACTGCCTTCCCCGGGCCATAGCAGAGAGCTGGACTGGAAGAGGAGCAATCGAGACTAGAACCAGGGGTGGGGGCGCCACAGGCAGAGGATTAGCCTAGTGAGCCATGGCACCAGCCTCGAATTGTTTTTCAGTTAGAATTTTCTGTAAACATGGCCCCAATATTTATTTTACAAACAATTCTTTATAACTACAGTTCTTCTTTTGAGAGTCTCCCAAAAGTCCAATGTAAGACAAAAATAAATTCTCTTCTGAATAATGTTTTTGTGCAGAACTGATAAAACTTATCATTTAAGAGAGTATTCAGTAAATACAGAGCATTCTATATTAGCTCTATAGGAAAATACAAATTCTGCATAGAAAAAGCAGATCATATACAACATTTTGCACATCTTGGGGTGAATTTAGACTTATATTTCTACAAATACTTTAGGATGTTATCTTGCAGAGTCAACAGGCCAATAACTGAAGAAACATGAACATACAAGATAAACACCAAACTTCCATAATCTGGCACCTGTCAACCACAGATCTAACTTTTAATAATAGCAGTACTTAAATCTTTCCCAAAAAGCCCTAATGTTTACTGCTTCTTTGTTCATGCTCTTTCTCCTGCCCTAATCTACAACCCCCATGCCCTCCACACACAGACACCCCTCCTTTTTACCTAGTTAGCACACACCTACTGATTTTTTACGACTCAGCCAGAGTTGCACACTAGGGCTTTACCTCTTCCAGGAAGGCTTCCCTCTCTAAACCTCCCTACCCTCTCAGGTTGGATTAGGTACTTTTTCTTCAGAGCCTCTACAAAGCCCTGGTATACATTTATCACAGCACCTGCTGTGTGGTACTGAGCTTATCCATTTACTTTATTTCTTCTACTATAGTGTAAACTACTTGCGGATAGGAAATCTTAATTTCTGTATTCTCGGTATTCTGGCATGTTTCTTAAACTAATCTTCTAATACTTAACCCACTTTTTAAATTTATCCCTTACCAAGATAAAGCCGAATCTGGAGACTTACACAAAGCAGAAACTTCCTAAATGTTGTAGAATTAAAATGCAGTTAAAAATGTGGTTGTATGTCTTCCTCTTTTATAATGTTTTTCTCCTGCTGTGTCACTACATTTTATTTAAAAACTGATCTTCTTGACTTTGAGTAATTAAGAGGAAAACAAAACAAAATAAAACACATGCTGCTCCTTATGTAGGTTTCTAAACAAACCAAGCTGTGTATGGATACCATCTGCTATCACAGCCTTCTTCACAGCATTGTGGGTGGTAGCTACACTCAGAGCTGGTCTGCCTTATCTCACTGTTCCCATGGAAAAGGCAGATTCTCATTAGCTGCAAAGTCCACAATTATTTTTGCCTTATTTCAGCTTCCTCTCATTAGACTATGCAAATAATTCTATGCTATTTTCTTTCTGGCTGGTGACTTTATAGCCTGCTTTCCAGAAAAATTAAAACTATTTTTCACTGCATGATTTCAACAATCCATGCATTAACAGCCAGAAGAAGAGTAGAGTAGGACAGAAAGGTTTTCTATATGAGTAGAAAGGGAAAGAAAGTAAAGAAAGGGAATATCTTACAAAAACTTAAAGACACTTCTGTTTTCAGTCATACTCAAGTATCTTTTACAAAGTATAGACTGGATACCAATATTGTTATGAGAGCTTGCATCCTAAAAACTTGCTAAAGTAATCTGTTACAAAGATACTGAGCACTTTACATGCTGCTAGACAACAATCTAATGAAAATCTCATTTCTGAACTGTCCATTAGTTTTAAAAGAAAAGATAAATGTCATAGAAAAACTAAAATGTAGCTTTAAAATTCAAATACTGTGAGCTTCAAGAGAAAATGTTTATTATTCTCTTATAAATATGAAAGCATACGTAAAACACATTGAGGGCGAGCAAGGGAAAGGGCTGTGCACCAGCAGTACAAGATAAAGGGCAGGAAATGCCGTAAAGGATATACGGCTCAGCACAGGAACTCACATGAGGAACAGTCAGAAGAGCATAAATAAATGATCAGAAACAGGCAGCTAAGGTAGAGAAACAATCGACTTAAAGTCAGACAATTTATAAGCTTGGTACTACATTTCTGTATCTGAAATTGGGAGCAGTAACATCTGTATCCAATAAGCTTCTCTCATTTATTTAGCATATTTAGCAAGTATTTTACATGACCAGCACAAAAATTAACCCAAGTTGCTCCTCTCACAAAGCTTGCATTCAAGGAGAGAGGGAGGATAAACCATACACACACACACACACACACACACACACACACATATATATACACACACATATATATACATACAACACCTGGTAGTGATAAGGGATATGAAGAAAAATAAAGGCAGGTAAAGGAACAAAGCAATGGCAGAAGGGCAAATCCGCTTTAGAAAAAAGAGGTGGTCATCCATCATAATGAGAGAGAAGGCAGAAGATAGAAGCACAGAGAAAAAGAGGCTGGTAGACTTTGGTTTATTATTGAAATGGAGAACAAAGTCACGAGCTGAGAATGGACTGGTGTGGGGAGTTAGAAAGCTGCGGGAAAATGCCTAACCATCTAATAATCATCCCAGAGACTGAAGGAGGAGGGATTTGACTTCTCAAAAAGTGAAAGAGGAAAATGCATTATGTTTGAAATTTGTAAATAAAGAAGTGATTAATGATAAAAGAGAGGGGCAGGCATTTGGCGTATTGGTTAAGATGGCGATGAAGACTTCATATCTGAGTATCTGAATTTCATAGCTGGCTCTGCTGATGACTCCGGCTTCCTGCTTAGACAATCGTGGGAGGCAGTGGTGATGGCACAAGAAGTTAGGTTTCTGCCACATGTATGGGAGACCTGTATGGACTTCCTAGTTCCCAATTTCAGCTCTAGCTAGGGGCCACTGTGAGCATTTGGAAAATGATCCAGTGGATGGGTGTGATCTCTATCTGCCTCTCAAATAAGTACATAAGAATAAAAGCCAGAGGAGACAAATTCCCAATACCAGAAATGAAAGATGAGTTATTATAATTATACATGCATTATAAATATATAAAGATATAGCATAGACAAATTTCTTAAAATACACTAATTATTGGGGCTGGCACTGTGGCGTAGTGGGCTAGGCCTCTGCTTGCAGCACTCACATCCCATATGGGCACCGGTTCATCCTGCTCTCTGCTATAGCCTGGGAAAGGAATACAAGATTGCCCAAGTTCTTGGGCCCCTGTACCCACCTGGGGGACCTGGAAGAAGTTCTTGGCTCCTGGCTTTGGATTGGCTCAGATCTGGCCATTGCAGCCAACTGGGGAGTGAACCAGTGGATGGAAGACCTTTCTCTCTATCTCCCTCTCTGTCTATAACTCTACCTCTGCAATAAATAAATAAAATCTTTTAAAAAATAGACTAATTACAAAGACTGACTCAAAAGGTACTAGAAGGATTAAGCCTAGATCTGCAGTGTTGGCATCCCATATAGAAGCCAGTTTGAGTCCAGCTGCTCCACTTCTGATCCAGCTACCTGCTAACGCACCTGGGAAAGCAGCAGAAGGTGGCCCAAGTCCTTGGGTCCCTAAACCCATGTGGGAGACCAGAAGAAGCTCCTGGCTTCAGCTTGGCCCAGCCCCAGCCGTTGCTGCCATTTGGGGAGTGAACCAGCAAATGGAAGATTCTCTTTCTCTGTCTCTGCCTTTCAAATAAATAATCTTTAAAAAAAAAAAAGTAATAGAAAAAGAAAACAGACTTAAGTACATTAAGTAAGTAGAAATCAAAATTCTCCCAAAAGACTCTAGCCCACATAGTTTTATCTGTTATCTACACCAAACATTTGCATCAATTAACATAACAGAGTCCAGAAACAGACCCACACATATATAATCAGTTCATTTTCTGCAAAGGTGGCATGGTAACTAAATGAGAAAATAATACTATTTTCAGCAAATACTATTGATTATTTGTATTAAAAAAAAAAAAAAAACTTGATCTTTACCCTCACACCATACACAAAATTAACTTGAAATACATTACTTTGTGTACACACACACACACACACACACACAAAACTTCTAGTAGAAAACAGGTGAAACTCTTCAGGACCTTGGTTAAACAAAGATTCTTTGGATAGAAAGAAAACTACATGAACCACAAGAAAACAATATATCAGAATTAATAAAAATTTAAAACTTCTTTTTTTTTGGAAACATGTTAAGAAAATAAAGCCCAGTCAGAATGAAAGTATTCACTACACACACACACATACACACTCACACACACGAATAACATAAAGTACAAGCCAATATTTTTCCAATAGGCAAAAGATTTGAACAGACACATCACAAAAGGTGACATATGAATGGGTAATACGCAAATGATAAGATATTCAACATCAACAGTTATAAAGGAAATAAAAACGAAACAATGAGATAATACTTTCCCTCTGGAATGGTTAAAATTAAAAAAAAAAAAAGGCCAAATATAGGTAAGTATATAAAATAACCAAAATACTCATGTATTGCCAGTGGGAATGTAAAATGGTATAATCATTTGGAGCACAATTTGGCAATTTATTAAAGAGTTAAAGATACAGTTTCTGTAAGATCCAGAAATTTTACTCCTAGGTATTTATCAAATACCTTGAGTGATGTTGGATGTTGGATGTTTATATAAAAACATGCATTTACACAAAAAGTGTGCCCTAAAACTTCATAATGATTTTATTTCCAATAACAAAAACTGGAAAAAGTTCTAATCTCCACATCAACTGGTGAACAGATAAAATGTATCTATAAATCAATACTACTCAGCAACACAAGGAAATAAACCACCAAACATGTAAGAAAATTGATGAAACTCAGAAACACTGAACAAAATAAGCCATTTTTAAAAACTACAAATTTATGATTCTATCTACATGAAATTTAAAATGAAAACAAATTGGCAGTGAAAGAAGGCAGATCAGCAGTTACTTGGGGCTGTGGTTAGTAATTAGAGATTTATGGGCAAAGGGTACAAAAGAAATCTGGGAGAGTGATTAAACATAGGGTTACCATATGATTCAAATTCACTCCAAGATATGTACTCAAGAGAAATGAAAACATACATCCTCCAAAAACTTGTACATGAATGTTCATAGCAGCACTGTTAAAACTGTCAAACAGTGGGAACAACTAAATGTCTACAAGTAAATATATGTGTTTTGTCTAAATCATGGAGTATCACTTGCCAATAAAAAGGAATGAAGCACTGATAGGTGCAACATGGAGCCTTGAGAACAGTATGTTAAAGAGGTCCATCAAAAAGACCACACTGAATGAGTTCATGGATATGACATTTCCAGAATAGATATATCAATTGAGACAGAAAATAAACTAGTAACTCAATAGGGCTAGAAGGGATTGGAAGAGGAGAGTTGGAGCATAGTAGCTAAAGTGAACAAAGTGTCTCTTTGGGGTTATGTAATGTTCTAAAATTGATTGTAATGATGGTTACACAACTCTGAATATACTAAAAAAGCAATGAAATGTTCACAACAAGTGTGAACTATGCCATGTGAATTATATCTCCATAAAGTTGTTAAAAATACTCTTCTGAATATGGGAGAATAATTTTCAGTAAATCCTAATAAAATAACTGTAGTAAAAGAGGTACAATCTGTACAAATGGGTAGCTTTAATAGATGTAGTAGATCCTTGGCATTAAGTGAAGAAAAATATCATAATTAATTACCCTTTCCACTGAAGATAACTGTTGTTGTAATCCATCACATTTTTTGTTTGCTTCTTCAAAAAGAGTTTTATATTTTTCTAGTTGAGACTGTTGCATATTAATTGTTCGCTGCTGTCTCCCACAATCTTCTTCAAAATTTTTTACTTGAGACTTTAAATCCTGAATTTCATCTTCCTATAGTTAATTAAAGATTATGTTAAAAGTGCACAAACTTTGGTATCAAAGCAAAGCCAAAATAAAAAAGCAGCTGTATATGATCTTTAATACTTATATCCCTTTTAAAAAACGTATTTATTTGAAAAGGCAACTTACAGAGATAGAGGGAGAGTTGAGAGAAAGAGATCTTTCATTCACTGGTTCCTCCCCAGATGGCACAATGACTAGAGTCAGGCCAGGCTGAAGCCAGGAGCCTAGAACTTCATCTAGATCTCCTATTTGGGTGAGAAGCACGTGGGCCATATTCTGCTTTCTCAGGCCATTAGCAGGTAGCTGGATCAGAATTGTAGCACCTGGGATTTGAACTGGCGCTCAAATGGGATACTTGTGTCATAGGCTGAGCCTTAACCTGTGACAGGTGGTTAAAGCTCCGAAATATCCATTTTCATTAAGAAAAATTATGTTCCATTTTCATCTTCAAAAATGAAAATAAGATGTCTTACTTGTATTTGATAGCTTATGATTTTAGGTCTAATATACAGAATTCTAATTGTAACAAGTAAAGTTATTTGTGAATAACAAATTCTGTGAGAATTCAATATCAAAATTCAGTATTAATACATGATTTTTAAATTCAAAATGTAACTGAGTTGCATCTAAATAAAGCCATTCAAAAATTTAATTGAAATTGCTCGTAAAATGTCTATTATCAAATATCAGAGCATCTTTTAGAGAGGTTTTAAAAACTTACTTTTTTATTACATTCACACACAACATTATCCAATTCCTCCTGCATAACACGGAGTTTGGCCTTTAGAAATCTGATCTGTGCTTCTGTGGATGTAAATAATGATATTCATTACCTTTTGCTGAATCTAAAACATCAATTATAAAATAGAACATTACTCTATGTGGGGAAAAGAGGAGGCTTATAAGGAGATTCCCATTAGGGGACATTAAGGACATGAAATACTTTTTTATGATATTTTATTTTTTCCATGTTAATGTAATATTCACAGAAAACAGATTCAACATAGTTCATAGACAAAATTCTAAAAATATAGTGATATTGTCTCCCTCCCTCCCATTCTTCTTTGAGAAATAAATCCACTCAACAGAAAAGAACAGCAAGGAATCAATCAGATCTCAATACTGGAAATGAGTAAGGACACAGAGAGAGGGGAAACAAAACCACTCCCAAGAATATAAAGCAGAAACTGAATTCATGTTTAGCATGGAGGTCCAAAATATATCACACAGAATTTAAAGTGGTCTCAGGTCAGTAATGTCCCTAAGTGTTTGACAGACACAAACACAAATGCTCTCCAGGAAAACACAACTTCAATCCCAGGCATTCTGATGATAAAATGCCAGAGTATAACACATCCAGTAGTTTGTGTTTCAAAAGTAAACAAATGCATTAATACCTATTGTCACACTTTCTCCCACAAACCTTCACTAAGACCCATCTTTGGTTATTCATTTCTCACAAAAGTTCTTTATTAAGTAATATCAGCAGTAAGTTATAGACCCATAAACAAATAAAATGAAAACTGAACTTAAAATCCACTCATTAATTATTCAGTTATTCATCCAAAAACTATTCAATCCAGTGTATAACAGAGAGGAGACAAGCCTTGCCCTCAGGGAGCCTATTGTGAGCACAGTTTTTGCCTGTGAGAAGCCACTAGGACAAACCACACTAAGCCATATACACATGAGGAACAGAGCTAAAAACTGCTCCACTCACACCTGCTGCTTTCCTTTGAAGTGCCCCCAGGACTGCCACCGGGCTATGGTTGGCTGTAACCTTCCTACATTCTCTCTGGCCTCAGTGCCCCTTCCAGCCTCTCATGGAACTCCAGGTGAGCAGAGGATAGAAAGGAAATGACAATAAATTGGCAATAGTTGGTGTTTAGGGTTAAAAAGGAAGAAAGAAAAGGAGAGCACAACTTTCCCCATTTCTCTCCTCAGCTGTCAACTTTATCTCAAGGAGCTCAGTGTCCTCATGCCTTGAAGCCCGAAGCCTAACCTGCCCTCCCCACACCAGATTTAATCTTACAAAGCAATCTATGCTTAAAACCTATCTTGATCTTCTCCCACACACAACCCAGCCACTCCAAGCCATCATCTGGAGTAAGAACACTCTCCCCAAAGGGAAGGCACGTAGGCCCAAGATACTAAGAAAAATAAAGAGACGAAGTAGCAGAGACATAATTTATCCACCAGGAAAAAAGAACCATTTTAGGTAAACTAAAATGTCTGGATTCTGGAAGCAGGAACATTTTAACAGAGCCATGGCAGATTCTACGGAGCAACAGCCACCATCTGCCCATCATGTCCTTGAAGATAGCTTGAGAGACTGAAAGGAAACCTCCTATTCTGCTTATCTTTCCTGCCTACAAGTAGCACCATAAAGCTTGATTAGGTAAGTAAATGTCACATTTGCATAAAACTGAATTTGCTCCTGGCAATTAACTAATATGCAACACAATAAACATTAAACACACAAAATGTTATGACTTGTCAAAGAATCAGAGAATTTTAAAGATAAACTTGATCACCTAAAATAAACTCTTACATTTTTGAACAAAAAAAGTTGCTGTGACAGAAGGACCATGTGGCTTTCATGAGGTCATAACTAACTGCATTACAGGTCAGCACTATGTTCATACATTCTCAACCATCTTGTTTCTTGTTTTAATAATATAGGTGGTTCCTCATAAATTCAACAGTTTTACAGGCATTACTGGTAAATACATTATCTAAACTTAGCGTTGTGATTTTTCTAGTGATATGTCAGCAAGAGTTAATACAGGAAACTCACACTCATTAGGAAACTCGTTTCATTATCTTATATGATGAATAGCAATAACTCATGTTTCTGCATGTGAAATATGTAAGAAATATGTAAAATATATTAACATAACATAAAAGGAATTCAGAAAAATGTTCTATTTTAATGAAAAGCCATATTTGATAAAACATGCTAATTTTAGCTGAAAAGTGTTCAATGAAACCAATACTATCATCTTATTATTTTTTACTTCTTACAATGGAAAAAAATCAAACATACACAAAAGTACAAAGATAATTTCAGTGAACTGCCACTTACCCACTACCCATCTTTAATAATCACTGACTCCCGGCCCATTTTACATCATCTATTATCCTGCTTACTCTTCCCACCATCACATCCCACTAGATTATTCTGAAACAAATCCAAGACATCACAACACCTTTTTTAAATGTAAGAAGCTGTTCACAAAAATCTCTTCTAATTGTGACATAAAGAAAAGACCTACCTGTTCCAATGTCTTTACTAATTCCAGAGAAGATATCATCATCTACACATTCAGGTAAGCCTTCTTCCTCTAGCTGCCCTTCAATTTTGCTAATTGTTTTTGCCAGAGAAAAGTCTGAGAAATCCTCTGGAATGGCAACATCATCAGCAGTGTGTACATCTGAGTATTTCAATTTAGCACTAGAGAAGTGAAAATTAAACAATGTACACATTTCTTATAAACAGAACAGAAAGGCAAAAAGGAGATACAGTGTTACCCAAACAATAATGCAAATAAAAAATGTGAGTTTTAAGCTTGTGATGAAAACTGTAACTCTTTCAGGGACTATGAGAGACATAACAGACTTTAGAACTTTGTGAATCACACACAACCACGGAGTTGGAGAAAACTTTATGAGGCCAGTTGGTCTAGATTGTGAATCCAATCATGCAAATACAAAAATCAATTATACCAAATTTGACATGCTAGTCAAATCTAGCATATGGCTTTTAATTTTACATGCTTCTCTATCATAACATATATTGATTGCCCTGGGCATAATTCTGCAAATACAAAATAATCTCTTGAGAAAGCCTTAACAATAATTAGCCCAGTCAAGTTCAAATTTTTTCCACCTATAGAAACATTCTATTTTTTTAGGTTTAAATTTTATTTACTTACTAATTTTATTTGAATGGCAGAGAAAGAAAGAGCTCTCATCACTTCTTTACTCCCCAAAAGCCCAAAACAAGGATGCCTGGATCAGGTGAAAGCAAGGAGCCATATATTCAATTCTGGTCTCCCACTTGGGTGACAGGAATACAAGTACTTGAGTTATCACCTGCTGCCAGGTGTGCATTAGCAGCAACTCAGAAATGAGACAGGAGCTGGGACTCAAACTCTGGCATTCCAACAAGGGATGTGGGGATCACAGGTATTATCTTAAGTACCAAACAAAATCTCCCACTCCCCCAAAAACATTCTAACCAAGACCAAAGTGAATCAAAAAGTTAGATTTGACATTTAAAATGAAGTCAGGTTTTTTTTTTTTTAACTTATCTTGCAGGTTTTTTTTAAATTTTTATTTTATTTATTTGAAAGAGTTAAAGAGAGAGGTAGAGACAGAGAGAGGTCACAGAGATGGCCACAACGGCTGGAGCTGCACTGGTCCAAAGCCAGAAGCCAGGAGCTTCTTCCAGGTCTCCCACATAGGTGCAGGGGTCCGAGGAATTGGGCCATCTTTTTTTTTTTTTTTTTTTTTTGACAGGCAGAGTGGACAGTGAGAGAGAAGAGACAGAGAGAAAGGTCTTCCTTTGCCGGCGCACCGCGCTGATCCGATGGCAGGAGCCAGGAGCCAGGTGCTTTTCCTGGTCTCCCATGGGGTGCAGGGCCCAAGCACTTGGGCCATCCTCCACTGCACTCCCTGGCCACAGCAGAGAGCTGGCCTGGAAGAGGGGCAACTGGGACAGAATCCGGCGCCCCAACCGAGACTAGAACCCGGTGTGCTGGTGCCACAAACGGAGGATTAGCCTAGTGAGCCGTGGCGCCGGCCAGGGCCATCTTCTATTGCTTTCCCAGGCCATAGAAGAGAGGTGGATTGGAAAAGGAGCAGCCGGGACTAGAACTGGCATCCATGTGAGATGCCAGTGCTTCAGGCCAGGGCTTTAAGCAGCTGTGCCACAGTGCCAGCCCCAAAGTCAGGTTTTAATAGTCTAACATAAAAACAAAGGCTTCAGAAGTTTACCTAGGGAAAAAAAAAAAAAAGTTTAAAAGTAACAAGTCTGAAAATCAGAGAACCATTTCAGGGTAGGTGTTTGGCCTAGCAATGAAGACACTGGTTAAGATGCCCATGTGCACAATGGAGGACTAGCATTCAAATCCTAGTTCTGCCTCCTGACTTCAGCTTCCTGCTAATACATTCCCTGGGAAGCAGCAGTGACAGCTCAAGAAACTGAGCTCTTGCCAACCATGTGGAGACCTGAATTGAGTTCCTGGTTTTTCAGCATTGGCTTTCCGATCTAGGCTACTGCAGGTACTTGGAGAGTGAACCAGCAGATGAGAATGTGCTCACATGCTCATTCTCTCTGTGTCTCTCAAATTACATACATCTTTCCAGGTAAGTATGTATCTATGCATGCATGTAGAAATATGGCATACATTCATTTCTTCATCTATTTTATCTTCTGTAACCCCTTTTCTTCCCTTTTATCAAAAAGAAGAGGAAAATGAAGTTAAACAAAAAAATGTAAGAATTAATAATATTTCTCCAGAATTACAATGGAATTTTCAGTTTGGGTAAGTAAAAGACATAAACGTAGGAAACAAGTTCTAAGAAAATATCACTACAAATAACATTTCAAAGATGGTGATTTTGCTTAAGAGAACAATACAAAATATTCATTACCTGCTATAAAACATTTCTGAACAGAAAATGTTTTAAATTATTGAATGTCAGTAAGATGCATAAAGTAACATTTTATATATTTGCCATATCAAAAGATCTAGAAAAAACACAAAAAGCCTAATAATTAAGAATGATGGTACTGGGGCCGGCACTGCAGTGTAGCAGGTAAAGCTGCTGCCTGTGATGCTGGCATCCCATATGGGTGCCAATTCATGTCCAAGCCGCTCCACTTCCCACCAGCTCTCTGCTAATAGCCTGAGAAAAGCAGCACAAGATGGCCCAAGTACTTAGGCCCCTGCCACTCATGTGGGAGACCTGAATAAAACTTGTAGCTTCAGCCTGGACCTTTGTGGGCTGTTGTAGCCATGTGGGGAATGAATCTGCAGATAAAAGATCTCTCTGTCTCTCCCTTTTTGTTTAACTCTGACTTTCAAATAAATACTCTTAAAAAAAATGATGCTACTGGGGCCAGTGCTGTAGCATAGCAAGTACAGCTGCTGTCTGCGGCACCTGCATTCCATGTGGGCTCTGATTAAAGTCCTGGCTGCTCCACTTCCAATCCAGCTCTCTGCTAATGCACCTGGGAAAGCAGTAGAAGACAAGCAGTTGGTGCTCTGCACCCATATGGGAGACCTGGAAGGAACTCCTGACTCCTGGCTTAGGATTGGCCTAGCTCCAACCATTGCAGCCACTTAGGGAGTGAACCAGTAGATGAAGATCTGTCCTGGTCTCTTCCTCTCTGTAACTACCTTTCAAATGAGTAAATATATCTTTTTTGAAAAATTATGGTACTAAGAATTATAAAACTGAAAAGAAGTAACACTTTTATTTATTTTTAGTTTTTTAACAGATTCAATATAGTTCATAAATATAATTCTAAGAATATAAAGATTTTATTTCTTTGTTTCTGAGGTTACCTATTTTTAATTTACATTTAGGCCGGCGCCGCGGCTCACTAGGCTAATCCTCCACCTTGCGGTGCCGCCACCCCAGGTTCTAGTCCCGGTCAGGCGCCGGATTCTGTCCCGGTTGCCCCTCTTCCAAGCCAGCTCTCTGCTGTGGCCAGGGAGTGCAGTGGACGATGGCCCAAGTACTTGGGCCCTGCATCCCATGGGAGACCAGAAGAAGCACCTGGCTCCTGCCATCGGATCAGCGCGGTGCGCCGGCTGCAGTGCACTGGCCGTGGCGGCCATTGGAGGGTGAACCAACGGCAAAAGGAAGACCTTTCTCTCTGTCTCTGTCTCTCTCTCACTGTCCACTCTGCCTGTCAAAAAAAAAAAATTTATATTTAGTCTTATAGTCATAGACTTAATTCTCCACCAAATAAAGAGTCCAACAGACAGTAAGATCCTAGTTCAGTAGGAATATAGGCAAGGACTACAAACAACAGTCAAATGGAAAGATGACCATTTTACCCAATACAGTAAATTTTAAAGCAATCACTTTTTTTTAACTTTTATTTAATGAATATAAATTTCCAAAGTACAGCGTATGGATTACAGTGGCTTACCCCCCCCATAACTTCCCTCCCACCCGCAACCCTCCCCTTTCCCGTAAAGCAATCACTTTTAAAACTTTACTATACCTTGAATTTGTTTTCTTTCCTTTATTAGCAGATAGCAGTTTGTTTTGAACCTTGTTTACAGGACCACTGTTTTTGGTTTTCAGCTACATGAAAAAAATTTAAACAATTAGAATCTAATCATCTGACAATGAAAGAAATTTGTAACACATGGAATATGCAGTTTTACCAAAAAGAATTGCTGTTTTCATGGAATTAATCAAATTGTATTTTCAATGATCCCAGAATTATGAATTTGGGGAAAAAAAAAAACCTAGGTAGTACCAGGACCAAGAGAGCCAAGGGTAAGGAATACTGAAAGAAACTCAAATAGCTAGTGGAATGTTAAATATAGATATTCTGACCACAGAATTTAGTTTTCCTTGGTAGGCATCCCTGGCCTTCATATGGACGGTGTCCTAGGCCTAGAGCTCCATAAGTGGAGAACACATAGTACCCAATATGTCCAGCACTGGAAAGAGTTATCTCTACACTACAATCATTTAAATGAATGAACCCTTCAAATCACCTTCTTCGGATATGAGTACCTTTCTTTTACAGGGTCTTCTCTCTACTAAAGCTTCAGAGGAAAAACTAAAAGTCTCAGGTTACAAACTCACAGCCTGTATGATTTTTATACTTTACCTCCAAATTGGTCAGTGAAATTATGAAACAAAAAAAGCCTCCATTTATTATATGGACAACATTTCATGAACAGATCCCTGAGTACCAAGGTTTATATTCTAAAGTTATATTCTTCTGTTTTGTCTAAGTTTTAAAAATGATCTAAATTCTACAGAATGTAATTACATTCACAGAAAGTTTGGTTCCATACCTTAGTTTCTGAATGCAGATTAATCATCCCTTCATCTGATAATAGTCCTCTACAGACCAAAAATAAACATATATAGATGAGAGTAAATGGAGAGAAAAAGTCAACAGAAATTTTATTTGAAAGGTGAAATGTACAATTATCAAGTAGACTCTGCTATAAGCCTAATTATCTACATGTTAAATTCATTTTGAATGAATGTCACAAACAAGTGATTTGGATAAATAATTCACCTTTGAGATATATAACGCCAATAGTTTTGGAGGAGAATGTAGCACAAATTTTAATGAACAGAAATCAAAAGAAGTTACTCAAGGCTTTACACAGAGATTATCCATTTTAAAAATGATTCATCACCGAGTTTTTTTTTATTGTGAGTTCACTCAATGTTACCATTCTTCTAAGGCATTTAAAGAATTTGGCCAGGAGTTGCTTCCATATGGGCCCTGGTTCTAGACCCAGCTGCTCCATTTCTGATCCAGCTCCCTGCTAATGGGCTAGGAAAGCAGCAGAAGATGGCCCAAGTGCTTGGGCCCCATCACCCAAGTGGGAGACCTGAATGCAAACTCCTGGCTCCTGGCTTTGGCCTGGCCCAGCCTCAATCTTTGTGACCATTTGGGGAGTGATCCAGCAGTTGGAAGGTCTCTCTCCATCTCTATCTCTTCCTCTCTAACTCTGCCTTTTAAATAAATAAATCTTTAAAAAAATAATTTTCCCCTATCGTATTCCGTTTTCCCATTATACTCTGAACACTACAAAGGTAGGGATTATGTCTGCCTTGTTCTCTGCTGCATGTTTGGTACTTGTCATGGTATCTGGCATATAAGCTCTTAAACTGGTACTAAATATTGCCAAGTGGATGAATAAACTTATCTGAAATGCAAATCATTTTAATGTACATGGTTTTCAAACCATGTTTGTACTTTAAGACATGAAGTATTTACAGGGATCTACAACCACGGCCCATGGGCTAAATCCACCCCAAACTCATTCACTCACCTACTGTCTATGACTGTTTTCATCTTACAACTGCAAAGTTGTATAGTTTTAACATAGTCTATATAGCCCACAAATCCAGAAACATTCACCATATGGCTCTTTACAAAGTTCGCCTACCCTTTAACAAATGTCTACAGCATCTGCATTGATCTCTTTTAAAATATACCATTTCATATCTACTGTTGCTATGTAAAATATTCTACTATATCCTCTAAGAATTCCTAACTATATGCGGCCAACTGGAGAGTGAACTAGCGGATGGAAGCTCTCTCTCTCTGCCTCTCCTCTTTCTGTGTAACTCTTTCAAACAAACAAATATTTTAAAAAAAGAATTCCTAACTATAGTAGAGGCCATAAAATCACTTTCCATCAGATGTCACCCAATGTACTAGTCACACATAGGTTTTTTTCAACATCAAACACAAAAATATAGATAATACTAAATATAACCTCTTAAACTACTAGAACCACTGAGATGAATGAAAGTCTTCCTAAGTATCTGTTACAGAAACTAAGTAATCATTCTCACAGGACATAAAAAATGTCAAATATTTTACAAATTTAACTGTCATTTTTATTTCTCATTTCAAATTAATGTTTGCCATCTCTTTAGCATATTTTCTGCTCCTGGCATCCATACTTGCTACCTAGCCCACATCCACCAAAAGATATTTAATGGTTATGTGTCTTGAATCTTCAGGTTTCACAGTAATATTATTTTGCTGGTATAATTTCATGAAATTAAATTTGTTCATAAACAGTTTATTTGTAAATAGATTGAAACAATCTAAGGGTGAATCCTATTTCTAGAAAAGTGAAAGACATATATGACTACAAAGGAAACTAAATTCTGATCCCCTACATATGTTTTAAAATGGAGTAACTTTGGGAATTGAAAACATTTTATAAAATATAATAACTGACTATAATTACTTAGGTGGATTACCAGTGCTCCAACCTGAAATGGAAGGTATCCACACAGAATTATCTTTCAACTTTTTTAAAAATTTATTTTATTTATTTGAAAGGTAGAGTTACAGAGAAGCAGAAGCAGAGGCAGAGAGGTCTTCCATCTGCTGGTTCACTCCCCAAATGGCCACAAGGGCTGGAGCTGAGGCAATCCAAAGCTAGGAGTCTGGAGCTTCTTCCAGGTCTTCCCTGTGACTGCAGGGTCCCAAGCACTTGTGCCATCTTCTGCTGCTTTCCCAGGCACATTAGTAGGGAGCTGGATGGGAAGTGGAGCACCTGGGGCTCGAACTGGCACCTATATGATGCCGGCCCTGCAGGCAGCAGCTTTACCCTCTATGCCACAGCACTGGCCCCAATTGTTTTTACCTTTCACAGCTCCCAGCTAATAGTCAAATGCTATGATAAGAGCCATCTGTTCAACAGGAGCATTTTTTAAAAAAAAACTACCTGTTGTAGGTAAACAGGTGTCTTCACCACTTTACACTTAGGGAAAATTTAGTACAAAAAAATTATCAGATTTGTTTTCATGCTTGTGAAATCTGTCTCTCACTTGCTTCAACAGAAATTAGAGATCATCTGTTGCTAACATCATTTCAATTCTTTAGTTAGTTGGATAAAGTTATATGTAATCTTATGTGCACTCAAATTCTAGAATTTTGTTAACTGTTAAGTATATTTTTATAAAATGTGTCAAAATTACATATAATAAGGATGAGTAGTTTCAAACTCTATGTACACATGTATGTGTATCAAATGGTGATATAAAAACACATTTTGATGTACTAATAAAAAATGCATGGGGCTGGAGTTGTGGTGTAGTCAGCACTTGCAATGCCAGCATCTTACATTGGTGCCCGTTCATGTCCCTGCTATTCCACTTCTGACCCAGCTCCATGCTAATGGCTTGAGAAAAGCACTGGAAGATGGCCCAAACACTTGGTCACTGCCAACACTGTGAGAGACCTACATAAAGCTCCTGGCTTTGGTCAGCCCAGCACTGGCCACTGTGATCATCTGAGGAGTGAACCATCAGATGGATGATTGCTTTCTCTCTGTCTCTCCCTCGCTCTCTGTAACTCTGGCTTTCAAAAACATCAACGAACCATTTAAAAAGTCAAAAGCAATACATAGGCAATAACTTCTTGGGAGTGCCAGTAGTTAACCTATAACTAATAGGGCACAAAATTATTTTAAGGCTTATTTATGTAATTTATATATCATAAAATACACCTGCTTAAGTTATACTATTCAATAAACTTTAACTTGTGTGATCACATAAGCAGAACAAGAGAAAATTCCATTATCCCAAATAGCTTCCTTGTGTAGTCCCCTAACCACTCCCCAAAGCCTTAGATACCACTGATCAGATTTCTATCCCTATAGTTTTACCTTCTCCAGCATATCAAATAAATGGAAACGAAGATCATGTACATTTTTGGAATCAAGCTTCCTTCACTGAGCACCTATGTTATTGCTGTATCAGAAGTTCATTGCTTTTTATTGCCAAGCAGTATTCCACTGCATGGATATACCCTAACTTGTTCATCCACTCATCATTTGATGGGTATTTGAGTTGTTTGAAGTTTCTGAAAGTTATGAATAACACTGTCCTAATATCTGCCTGCAGGTTTTTCTTGGACGTATGTCTTCATTTCTCTTGAGTAAATATTGAGGAAGGGAATTAACTGTTGGATTGTATGCAATAATTATTTCTGAAGATATGTATAATATTCTAATTAAAGTATGAGCCAAAAATATTACCACTTTAGTCACACAATTCTTATTTGTTTCTAAGCCCTGCAAGATATCTATCCATTTGCCTAATTAGGGTTGCGCAGCTCCCAAAGTCTGGCTCTTGATCTTAGAAAATTGGGGAGCCATAGCTGTTTCATGATTTAAACAGCCATGAACAATTTCAATCTGCTTTTACAGCTTCTTTGCTGATGCAACCACTAGTGACCTTCTTATATTTGGTTTTGGTCCGTTCTATGTGCCATTATCACATCCACAGTTCCTTCCAACACTACAATTCATTATTACATTTCTTTATTTTACCCTGAACTTCTCTCTTTCTCAATTTAAAAACAGGTTAAAGTTGTCAGGCTTCTATGGAGAGACTACTCTCTGTTTAGATCTTTACCATAAGCTATTTATCCAGCTGGAAAGTTTCAGTAGATGCTATTTAATCTGGTCCTTGACCCAAAGGACTTCAACTCATTGGAACGTTTTATCCATAGTTGAAAAGGCCACACGTTTATTCTTTTTTTGTTTTTGTTTTTGTTTTGCCTTAGTTCAGTTTTTATAGACTTTTGTTCTTCAAATATGTCTTTAAGTTTATCTCCTAATTCTTGAAGTCTAAAAGCAGTTGATTACAATGAGAAGTCATCAAGGCTGGGTAGGATAAATAAATCAGTGGAATATAATTTAGAGTTTGAAAATAAAACCTATGTCTATGGGCAACTGATTTTTAACAAGAGTGTCTACACCATTAATAGGGGAAAGAATAGGCTACTTAACAAAAGATGCCAAGGACGGAAGGTTGATACTTTCTCATACCATATAAAAAATTAACTCAAAACAGATCAAAGACCTGAATCTAAGAGTTAAAGCTGTAAAACTTCCAAGAAACCAAAGGTATAAATCTTAATTGCCTTCAATTAGGTAATAAAGTATTCCATTTCATTTCTGCTTGCAAAACAGCCAATACTCTCAAACATATTTCTTTCTTACAATACCATGCCAAATACTTCTAACAACAACAGCACAGATTCCTGATATTCAGTGTTCCAACCTCTCCACTAGTGCATAAGTTCATTAAAAATCTAGGGGCCGGCGCCGTGGTGCAGTAGGTTAATCCTCTGCCTGCAGCACCAGCATCCCATATGGGTGCCAGTTCTAGTCCTGGCTGCTCCTCTTCCAATCTAGCTCTCTGCTATGGCCTGGGAAAGCAGTAGAAGATGGCCCAAGTCCTTGGGCCCCTGTACCCATGTGGGACACTGGGAAGAAACACCTGCTCCTGGCTTCATATCAGCACGGCTCCGGCCATTTGGGGAGTGAACCAACGGAAGGAAGACCTTTCTCTCTGTCTCTCTCTCTCACTGTCTGTAACTCCACCTCTCAAATAAATAAATAAATAAAATCTTTCAAAAAAGTCTGTTCTGCCTCTCAATTTCCAATCGGTGACAATTTTGTTAAATTTACTACATGACATTAATTCTCTATCTTTACAGTCTTCAGCAAGTTTCCTTGCTGACTCCCACCTAACTACTAATCTAAAGCCACACTTTGAGAGTTTTCATTGTGCAGCACTCCACTCCCAATGCCAATTTCCAACTGAGTAAGAAATGCTAGGATAGTCACCTCAAAATCTCAGTGCCCTAACACACTCAATGTAGCAGCAGACAAAAAAGACCCCTTTCTCCCACATATTCCGCAGGATCACCCAGACAACTCATTGGGAGGTTTCACCAACTGAAATTTCACTGATCTTTGCACAGAAAGTCATTTGGAACTCCCTTCTGTCTTAGCTAGGAAGAAGTTAATTTGACTTTTGTTCACAACCCAATGACCAATGCAAAAGACTTAGAACTTTGGTGATCATCGTGGTCTCCACTCTAATAAGATTTTACAATTTTGTTCACATTACTATTTTTCCTGTAAAACTGATTCCTAATACTTTATAGTTCCCTAATTTGACAATCCAGAAACCTACCTGAAATTCAAGAAAAAAAACTGATAACATATTATCTTTACTAATTATTTACCTTTATCTAATTTTGTAATTAGATAATTTTTGTAATTTTTAAAGAAAGGTAGTACAGTTTATACCTTTGACAAGTACTGACTATTTCTAAACTGCAGGATTTTGAAGACAATAATATTTATTTCAAAATAATTCTATTAAAATAACAGATAAAGAGCTTGCATTGTCACAAATGCTCAAGTATTATTAGTTTACATTATATAAATATTCTTCAAATTATAGATTTTCAACATTTGCATGTAAAAATTTTTGTATTATAAGATCCATAAACATCATTTAAATCACTTACCTTAAACTGTAATCACCTTCCTCTTCATATGATTTAATTTGTGATGAAATTGGCCTAGATCGTACCTCTTGCTGATCTCGCTAGTTAAGTAAGTAAAATTAGGTCATATATAATACAGGAAAAACCCACAAAATTAGGATATATTGAAGTGACCCTCTAATCACTCATCATTTCAGCACTGTCCCAAGTTTCTATGGTATTAAGGCACAAGATTCTGAATGTTACAGTATAAAAATAAGATCTGTAATATCCTAGCTTCACCTTTCATTCATCCCAGGTTATAAAAACTAGTCCTACAGGGACAATGTCCAGGTTATAAAAACCAGTCCCAAAGGGAAAATGTTAGAGTAACAAAGCCTTGAAATACTTCCAACTCTTGCTTTCTCTTTACATTAGTCTTCCATCTCATACAGCATGCAATGGAAATTAGAAAGTGGCATACAAAATGCAAAAAAAAAAAAAATCCATTTAATGGGTACTTGTCTCAAATCAGGTAAAATTTCAATGTTGAAAACACCATGAAGATGGTAAAAATGAAGTACCAGAGGCCAGCGTCTAAAGCCCTAACCTGCAATGCCAGCATCTGATACAAGAACTGGTTTTGTGTCCAGCTGCTCTACTTCCTATGCAGCCCCCTGCTAATGACCTGGAAAAAGCAGCAAAAGATGGCCCAAGTATTTGGATCTGTGCTGTCTTGGTGAGAGACCCAGATGAAGCTTCTGCTTCAGCCTGGTTCAGCCCTGGCCATTGTGGCCATCTAGAGAGTAGACCAGCAGATCCAAGATCTCTGTATACCTAACCTCTGCCTTTGAAATAGTAAGTAAATATTTAAAACAAAAGTGAAGTACCTCGACAAAAGAGCTTTTTGGCAAAGATACATCAAGAATTGAAAGTAAACAAAAAATCAGGATGGCCAAAGTTGTACTTAGCTTCTATGGGGAAAAGGGGATGTCCCCTCCCCCTTTCCCAGCCTTTTTCACTTTCATGTTCTGCTTGTTTTTGAGGAAGAAAGGTTCTTTTTAGGGAACTCTCAGAAAATAATACATAATAAATCTCTCATTCTACTGTATCTTAGAGTTTCTTTGCACATGTTTTCTTCTGCTCCTCATACACTGGCAAAACTAAAAAATGGAATAAAAACAGTTTTAAAAAATATTTAATGATAAATGCAGCTAGTAAATCTGTAACCATTATCTACAGATATTACTTGAAATGTTATACATGATACATTTCTTATTCCTAAACTAACAAAGAATTGTGTATTTGTGTAAGACACTAAAATATTACCGAGATTTAATTTCTTGCATCTATCAATTCCATTTTGAAGAGTACAGGGTTTTAAAAGGAAGAATGATACTTAAACTAGGATAAGAACTGGTAGAAGTTTGAAAGTAGACAATTTACTCCTCACAAAAGGGCTATTCTACCTTATCAATTGACAGTGGGCAGGCTGACCCTCAAGGAGTGATGCCTCAACACAGGAATACCCAATTTAATATCAGAATGCGGGATAATATGCTTAGCTACCCTGCTCAGAGATACAATCTCACCAAATTTTCTTGATTAAAAATGTGATTCTAGTCTACCTCTAAGAATCTGAGTTACATCCAACTGCAAAAGTTGAAGAAATAAATTATCACTAAATTTCAGTAATAATTGTTATCACTTAATCAACTTTCATCTAGAGGACAATTTATGTCAATCTCCACTGAAGTACAGGGTTAATTCTATTTACTTTCAAAATATTAATCTTTTGATACTAGGAAATACTTAATTATGTAGTATTAAGATTCCAACTCAATGAATGGAAAATGTAAAAAGTGGAAAACACTTTTCCATTGGTATTTTTAAAGCTTTGGCTTATCCAGGGTCGGCACCATGGCGCAGTAGGTTAATCCCCCGCCTGCAGCGCCGGCATCCCACATGGGCGCCAGTTCTAGTCCCGGCTGCTCCTCTTCCAATCCAGCTCTCTGCTGTGGCCCGGGAGGGCAGAGGAGGATGGCTCAGGTCCTTGGGCCTTGCACCCACATGGGAGACCAGGAAGAAGCACCTGGCTCCTGGCTTCGGATCAGCGCAGCTCTGGCCATTGAGGCCATTTGGAGAGTGAACCAATGGGAGGAAGACCTTTCTCTCTGTCTCTCCCTCTCACTGTCTATGAATTAAATATTTTTAAAAAAGAAACTTTGGCTTACCCAAAACACACCCATACATATATACATACTATATTCAGGCATATGTAACCATGTTCAATTTGTGATAATTTATTGAGCTGTATATTTGTTCTGAGTACATTTTTGATATGCTACATGAAATTAAAAAGTTAAAAACCTAGCATTTACTTACAATTACTTCTTCAGCTTGTCGAACCAGGTCAGCGGTTTTTGCCTCCAATTCTGCATTTAAGCGCCTAAAAGCAGAAAATAAGTTAACTGAAATACACAGAAGATTCTTAACAAAATTGAAAGTAATTACACTTCAGCAAGTGACCTAATACACAAATGGAAAACATTCCCAGGACATTTCCCTTCTCAGACAGACAAAGCTGTCAGAACTTACTGTCCCAACTCCTCCACTGTGGTAGGGACTCAAACACTGCCAACGCTGGCCTTTCTGGGGCCCTTTACTCACTGCAAGTGAAGGGGCTTACCTGACTCCTAACTTAGAAAGAACATAAACTGCATGCATTCAACTCTGCTGTAACTGTCATTTTCTTCAGATTGGCTACCTGCAGGGAGCACCAGGTTCTAACCTCAATCCTCCACAGAGGACACGAGGAGGCAGAGTCGGGGGCGAGGCCTGCTCAGGGAAGAGGTGTGGCTGTCATTAAGTAGCTACATCTGGGGTCCACTGCATGTTTCCATATTAGCCTCATCAAAAACAAAGGAGATTATTCTTTTTTTTTAATTTTTTATTTAGTAAATATAAATTTTCAAAGTACAGTTAATGGATTACAATGGCTTCCCCCCATAATTTCCCTCCCACTCACACCCCTCCCATCTCCCACTCCCTCTCCCATTCCATTCACATCAAGATTCATTTTCAATTATCTTTATATACAGAAGATCAATTCAGTATCTATTAAGTAAAGATTTCATCAGTTTGCACCCACACAGAAACACGAAGTGTAAAATACTGTTTCAGTACTAGTTATAGCATTACTTCACATTGGACAACACACTAAGGACAGATCCCACATGAGAAGTAGGTACACAGTGACTCCTGTTGTTGACTTAACAATTTGACACTCTTGTTTATGGCGTCAGTAATCTCCCTAGGCTCTAGTCATGAGTTGCCAAGGCTATGGAAGCCTTTTGAGTTTGCCGACTTCGATCTTATTCCAACAGGGTCATTGTCAAAGTGGAAGTTCTCTCCTCCCTTCAGGGAAAGGTACCTCCTTCTTTGATGGCCCCATTCTTTCCACTGGGATCTCACTCGCAGGGATCTTCTATTTAGGTCTTCCTTTTTTTTTTTTTTTTTTTTCCCAGGGTGTCTTGGCTTTCCATGCCTAAAATACTCAAAGGAGATTATTCTGACCCTCACCTGCCACTATTTTTTCCAATCTATTCAGTATCTAGTGAAAAACAGTTTACTTAGTCCCACCAAAACCACAAGAATGACAATATCGTTGAAAGACATTGTTTTTAAAGGACAAATTGCTTATAGTTTTACTACCATCATTTGACCATTTTTATTTTTGAATTTCCCTTCCAATTTTCATCTGTAACATTTACAAATTTTTACTTTTTTTGCACAGCAGTGGAGTGAATGTGTAACGTCTTTACAACTAGCAACTTAAATACCTGCATGAAACTCCAATGAATCGCAGTTAACATAATATACTAAACTTTTCCATTGTCAAAGTCAGTTTTTAAAGGTTAACAGTATATCAGCATCTTCAAAAAACATTCACCTTTTTTCTCCTATTGAAAGGTCATTTTGAGACGATTTGGCTCTTTTGAAGTTATAAGCAGACATGAATAAACAGAAATCACCGATAACCTCTAATCCAGGAAAAAGAGAGGGGCACTACCACATTCTTTATTAAAACAGTCTGATATTTTAAGAAATATTTTCATATTTTGAGATTCTTTGGTCAAAAGAAGAATATTTACGAAACACTTAAAACCTGTATTTAAAGTGCTGTTAATCTGAATTTTAAATTTCCTAGCAAGAGTCCTGAAGACTTAAATAGATGCTCCCAATCCTTACAGTAAATCGAGATGACTAAGAAAACCAGTCTTAAATTCCAAATCCAAGGAAACACCGGATAAAATATGATGAAGGAAATACTTTGCTGAGCTCAAACTCAGGCAAGGGAAATGCCCTGGTACTAAATATAAAGCAGCAATTCAAAGTGAGAGCAGTAAACAGGAACAGAAGCCAAAATAGCTTAACAGTTAGAAGCTGAGGCACGTGTGAGTCATGAAGGGGACACCTGTGAAACACAGGCTACAAACCCTCTGCCCATAACCTTAGGAGAACAGAAAAGCAGCCACAGCCAGTCATTAAAACACAGAGTGGAATCCAAATTCACCTTCCCAGATGTTCCAAGGACACTATGCCAAAACTTTCATGTGGAAGAAAGCAGGCCTAGAACCAGTGAAATCTCTAAGCTAGTAAAGATAAATTTCAAACCACCTATAGAGACATGTACCCATCTAGAATATATGAACTCCCTCACACAGCAACCCTACTAACGTTGACTTCAAAAACACAAGTTACATAAAGAAATAAGCCACTAAAATGGAGAATCAGCACATGAAAGGGAAAATTAGTACCATGAGAAACGGAGACAAAACAAACTAAGGAAGATTCTTTAACATTTTCAATGTGGACAAAAAAAGTAAGGGCACCATTTGACAAGACCCATATATTATATTAAAAAACACTGAATTTAAAAAAGAAATCACATAACTGAAAACCAAAATCATTCAAAATTAAAAGCTCAAACTCAGTGGATATGGCAAGCAATAGAATGGACTGAAGAGGAATGAATGAATTAGAAATGAGCATGAAGAGGGCTGGCATTGTGACATATGGGTTAAGCATCCCATACGCGACATCAGCAGCCTATAAGTGACGTCAGCATCCCTTATGGGCACCAGTTCAAGTCCCAGGTTCTCCACTTCTGATCTAGCTCCCTAATAATCTAAGAAAGCAGTGGAAGATGGTTCAAGTCCTTGGGCCCCTGCACCCACACTGGAGATCTGAAAGAAGTTCCTGACTCCAACTTTAGCCTGGTCCAACCCTGGTCATTGCAGCCATTTGGGGAATCAATCAATGGATGGAAGATCTCTTTTATGTCTTTCAAAAAAACAAACAAATCCTAAAAAAAAAAAGAAAAGAAAAGAAAAGAAATGAACATGAGGAAATCATCTACAAGAAGGTACAGAAAAACAAAGGGATAAAAAAAAAAACACCAAAGAGAGTTAACATCCATTGAAGACAGAATCTGTGACAAAGACAAGTGTTATTTATCTGATCTCTAATAGAAATAACAGAAAGAAATCCTAGAGATAGAAATATCAATATTTGAAGAGATAATGCTGAAAATTTTCCAAATAAGAAGGACGTGGATCACAAACAGAATACAGAAAGCAAATTCACACTTGTACATATGATGGTGAAATGGCAAAACTAAACTAAATATTCTGAAACTCCCAACTCATTATTTTAAAAGATCAGAGAAAAACAATACAATACAATTATCAAAAACCTGATGGTAGATGGATCATTAACGTCTGTGGATGCCAAGACACAACAAAAGGATGTGCTGAGTGGACTGAGAGGGAAAAAGTGGCCATCTAGAATTCTATGTTTGGATAAGATGTCATTGAAAAGTAAGTTCAAAGGAACAGAACTCTCAGAAAACACTGGAGCGTTTAAGACAGCTCTTCACATAGTTAGTAATGAAGGGTCTATGCGTCAGGAAGGAGGAAAGTGAACCTGGAAAAAAAAAGATTCACGAAGAACAAGATATCAGAAAACACAATAAAACTAATTTTTTTTGTTTTTTTTTTTGGACAGGCAGAGTGGACAGTGAGAGAGAGAGAGACAGAGAGAAAGGTCTTCCTTTGCCGTTGGTTCACCCTTCCAATGGCCGCTGCAGCCGGCGCGCTGCACTGATCTGAAGCCAGGAGCCAGGTGTTTCTCCTGGTCTCCCATGGGGTGCAGGGCCCAAGCACTTGGGCCATCCTTCACTGCACTCCTGGGCCACAGCAGAGAGCTGGACTGGAAGAGGAGCAAGAGGGACAGAATCCGGTGCCCCAACCGTAACTAGAACCCGGGGTGCCGGCGCCGCAGGTGGAGGATTAGCCTAGTGAGCCGCGGTGCCTGGCCTAAATTTTTTTTTGACAGGCAGAGTGGACAGTGAGAGAGAGAGACAGAGACAAAGGTCTTCCTTTGCCGTTGGTTCAACCCCCAAAAAGGCTGCTGCGGCCAGCATGCTGCGCCGATCCGAAGCCAGGAGCCAGGTGCTTCCTCTTGGTCTCCCATGCGGGTGCAGGGCCCAAGGACTTGGGCCATCCTCCACTGCACTCCCGGGCCACAGCAGAGACACGGACTGGAAGAGGAGCAACTGGGACAGAATCCAGCGCCCCAACAGTGACTAGAACCCTGGGTGCCCGCACCGCAGGTGGAGGATTAATCAAGTGAGCCATGGTTCTGGCCAAAAAAAAAAAAACACAGTAAAACTAAATTAATACAAACTAAAAAGTCACACTGATTATTAACTGGGTGTAGGTGTTTTCAAAACTAAGAATTATCTAACTTGAAGGAGGAAAACCAAGGGGTCAGTGCCATGGCTCACTTGGTTAATCCTCTGCCTGTGGCGCCAGCGTCCTACATTGGCGCCAGGTTCTAGTCCCGGTTGGGGGGTGCCGGGTACTAATCCTGGTTGCTCCTCTTCCAGTCCAGCTCTCTGCTGTGGCCAGAGAGGGGAGTGGAGAATGGCCTGGGTGCATGGGCCCCTGCACTTGCTTGGGAGACCAGGAGGAGGCACCTGGCTCCTGGCTTCGGATCGTGGCGGCCATTTGGGGAGTGAATCAACAGAAAGAAGACCTTTCTCTCTCTCTGTCTATAACTCTGCCTGTCAAATAAATTTTAAAAACAAATAAAATCAAATCTTTCCAAGAAAGAAAAAGGAAAATAATGAAATCTCATTCACTCTAACGGAGACAAACAAAAACCAAAATTATGGTAGAAAACATGAAAAATAAGATGACTAAGGCAACGTCAAATTAGCAAACATAATAATTTAAAGAAATTCATCAATTAGGGGCCAGCCTCATGACATAATGGGTTAAGCTGCCCCTGCAACGCCAGTTCAAGTCCTGGCTGCTCTACTTCTGATCCAGCTCCCTGTTAACATGCCTGGGAAAGCAGCGAAAAGTGGCCCAGGTCTTTGGGCCCCTGCACCCACGGGGGAGACCCAGATGGAGCTTCTGGGTCCTGACTTCAGCGTGGCCCAGCCCTGGCCACTGCAGCTATTTGGGAGTGAATCAGTGGATGGAAGATTACTATCTGTATCCCTCTCTCTCTGTAACTCTGCCTTTCAAATACATAAAATAAATCTTTAAAATTAGATTAGCAAGAAAATCAAAGGTAGTTCTTTGTAAAAACCAATAAAAATCTTCCATGTAGATGGAAAAGATGAAAGCAAACCACACTGGGAAGTACCCAGAAGAAGAATGTAGAAAGGTATTCAAAACATTCATGGAAAAATGAAATTAAAAGATGCTTATACTGGTGCAAAATTTTTTTAAATCGATGCATAGATTCAATAATACACATTTTCCATATTTTTGATGACTCTTCATGGTTGTAGATACAGTCTAGATTTAAAACATGTAAGCATAAATTCACACAAATATATTCTATTAAAACATACATGAATAATTTTTAAAAAACTATCAATAACCAAAATTTATTCTAGAAGAAATAGTGAATCTAAATAGATAAACAACCGTTGAGGAAACTAAATTCATAGGCAAAAAGAAATCTGTTGACAAAAAACAAAAAAGAGTCAAACAGGTTCACAATTTTAACCAAGAACAAAACAATCCCTAAACATAAAAAGTTTTCAAGACCATAAAAAAAAGAAAAACTATCCAACTTATTTCACAGAGCTAAGATAATACTATTAAAATCAGAAAAGAAAATAACTTATAAAAAATAAAATAAAATAAAAAATAAAATAGAAGAAAAGCATACAACCAACTTCATTTGTGTTCATGGATACAAAAAAACCCAAAGCAAAATTACAGCATCCAACCATCTTTAAAGGAAAACAACAGATCTGTTATTTTCATATGATAAAACATTTAAAAGGGAAAATATACCACCACCTGAATTAATTGGAGAAAAAAAGAGTTTTGAAGGATTTAACCTCTGCTCAAGTTAGGTATTAAGGGGAATAATTTCTGTAAGTTTGATGAAAGGAATCTACCAAAACCCACAACAAACCTGAAAGGCAATGATAAATTATTTAAATGAGCTCCTCAAAGTTATAACCAAGATAAGGAAGTGCACCATCATTTTTTTCTACTACACACTGCACTAAAGGTCCTAAATGCAGAGGGAAAAAATGATGATGAATGAGAAACTGTGAAGATAAAACAACCCTAATTTGCATGTGATATGACTGTCTTCATCAACAATCCAAGGAACTCAACAGAATGAATTAGTAAGTTCAGAGGCCAGTGCTGTGGTGCCGCAGGTAAAGCTGCAGCCTGCAAGGCTGGCATCCCATATAGGTGCTGCCTGTTCCAACTGCTCCATTTCTAATCCAGTTCCCTGCTGATGGCCTGGGAAAGCAGTGGAAGATGGCCCAAGTGTGTGGGCTCCTGCTACCCACGTGGGAAACCCGGATGAAACTCCTGGCTCCTGTCTTCAGTCTGGTCCAGTCCTGGCCTTTGTGACCATCTGGGGAGTAAACCAGTGGATGGAAGATCGATCTCTCTCTGTCTCTCCCTCTCTCTCTGTAACTCTGACTTTAAAATAAATAAACATCTCTTTTTTAAAAAAATTGAGATTAGCAGGGCTAATTTCTGTCTCTATATAAACATACATATAGCACCAAAAAGTACAATCAATAAAATACAAATTAGAAAATGTTCAAAAAAGCCATCATTGCAGCAACAAACTACACTTCAAATTATATACCCAACACTTTCATGTAGTAAAATGATAACTCCCGCTGAACAGAACAGTTCCTATAATTTCAGACTTGAAATAGGATTGCATCTCCAATGGCACACTAGAGTCAGGTCCATAATACACTCTCAAGTAACTTAAGTGAATTAACTTAATAACATAGGTATTTAATACTACCTAGTCAACTGGTAATGGAAATAACTGTTTTGGTTCTGGCACAGCTGATATAGAACCGTAAAAGGACAAAAGGTTAAGTTGTTTAAGTACTCTTTTGAATTGGGATAACAGGCCCATTTGATAAGGGAGAGAAGGATGACTGCCTGCCTACATGCTGTGGCAATTTGGCTTGTGTTTAGCCCATCTAAAGACAGTGCACTTCAGTATTAATTTTTTTTTTTTTATATTTGACAGAGTTATAGACAGAGAGAGACACACACACAGAGAGGTCTTCCTTCTGTTGGTTCACTCCCCTAATGGCCGCCACGGCCAGCACTGCGCCGATCCGAAGCCAAGAGCCAGGTGCTTCCTCCTGGTCTCCCATGGGGTGCAGGGCCCAAGCACTTGGGCCATCCTCCACTGCCCTCCCGGGCCACAGCAGAGAGCTGGCCTGGAAGAGGATCAACCAGGACTAGAACCTGGCGCACATATGGGATGCGGGGGCCGCAGGAGAAGGATTAACCAAGTGAGACATGGCGTCGGCCCCCTTCAGTATTAATTTTAAATATGCTTTGATTTTACATATATGATAGTAACTATTTAACACTCTGAAGAATTGCCAGATTGTTTTCCAAATTTTAAATGTTTTTTTTATTATTATTTCAAAGGGAGAGTTAGAGAAGTATCTTCCATCTGCTGGTTCACGCCACAAATGGCTGCAGAGGCCAGCGCTCAGCCAGGAGCCTAGAATCCCATCTGGGACTCCCACGAGGGTGCAGGGGCCTAAGTACTTGGGCCATCCTCTGCTGCTTCCCAGGTGCATTAGCAGGGAGCTGGATCAGAAGTCGAGCAGCCAGGACTCCAATTGGGGATCTTACAGGATGCTGGCACTGCAGCCAGTGACTTAGCCTTTGGCACCACAGTTATTCTAGTTTTAATTAAAAAGAAGGGGTTGCTAAAATATGCTTCCATAAGAATGTCAGATGGCAAATAAAACAAACATGGTCTCTGCCCTTGTGGAACTGTCCTTTAGTAGAAGAGACACAAAATCTAAAACCAATGAATTGACTCTAACAAATTATACTAATTACAAAAGAAAAACTCGAAAGATAGCAACAACAAACAACACATAGCCTAGTATTTAACGTAATCAAGGTGGAAAGCAGGTGTGATCATCCTCAAGGAAGAGAAGGAAAAAGTTTTCAGAACTAAAAGGCCACCAAGATTGGAAAAGTTAATAGAAAACAAACACACACATAGAGGCGCGGGCACAAGATCAAATAAAAGCATAGGCAGGAGCCGGATGCGTCAGTTTCTGAAGCGCGACAGGAAACCAGTGCGGCTTTTCACGCAGAGGAACGACATGCTCAAATTAACCAGAGTGCCCGGGCTTCTGTGTGACAACGGAGGATGAGAACGGTACTTCCAGCCGCACGGAGAAACGTGCTTTCAACCTCCAGAGAAATGCACCTCACGTCGACTCCAGGCCCTGGAAGTTACGCGAAACCAGGAACCGAAAGTGGCCGTGGCGGCTCCTGCTATCCGAATGCTTTCAACAGTGTCATCTAGCTAAAGAACACGTCTCCTTGAGCAAGACTTTCGCCCCCTTCAAGTATCTTCTGAGAGGCAAGCGAGGAACCACGGCGGCCAGGGGGGGCGGGATGCTGGGAAAGCAACGCTACCCGGGGGAGCAACCCCAAAGACGCGGCCAGTCTCCCGGAAAAGTCAGAGAGAGAAAAAAGGCTCAACTTCCAAGTGTCTTACTTATATTCTTCCTCCTGGGCGAGGAGGTCCCGTCGGGGAGCCGCAGGCTGCCGCACGCGCGACGGGAGCGGCGTCCCGGGAACGCTGCGTCCCTGTAAAAGAGGCAGAGCCTTTCAGACCTGGAGATCAACTGAGTTATTAGGCCTCCCTGCCGCGGAGGGCCCAACCGCCACCCCCTGGAGGCTGGGGGTGAACTGACCCTCCGACCAAGACTTCGCCCCGCCATCTTTCGCGGCCACGACGCGGTTACCGAGGCAACGACGCATCTTCCCGCGAGAGGTTCCGCATCCCGCAGGGGCGGGAGGTCCCTTCCCTCTCCCCGGGCGCTCGGCGCGAGCGTTGGGGCCGAGCCCGGGGGCGGGGCAGTGGGCGCGGCGGCTCGGCGGTTCGGCGGTTCGATCCAGCTCCACCCGGCCGGTCCGGGAACCGGAGAAGCCGATGTAGTGCTTTGACTAAAGCCCGAGTGTATTCTCGAATAGGGGTGAAAGGGCTCCAGCCAAAGAACGCAGGTCTGTTTCTAATACTCCATAGCAAGCAGGCGAGTGACGCCCTACCCTGTTGTGCTTTCCCAACCATTCGTGGCCAATGTGAGCCTAAGCCCCTTTATGTAAAATGCATTCTTTTCTCAAGTTCTGATTTCTAACGTTTATTCAGAGCGGGAGGAGCTCGGGCTGTCAAATCGGTCGGCCTAAGTTCATATTCTGGTTCTGCTGCTAAGTACCGCCGTGGGAAATCCCTCTGTTACCTCAGCTGCCTCATCTGTGAAATGGGAGGAAGAGTAGTGCCCAGTTCACAGGGTTAGTCTGAGGCATAAATGATATCAGCCTGAGAATCAGGGAACACCGTAAAAAGTCCCCGGTGCCGGTTATTCCGGAGTCAAATTGAGAGTCCAGAAATAAGCCTTCACATGAACGAGCAACTGATCACCAGGGTAGTCGGACATTCAGTGGGCTAAGAGTACTCGACCACAAATGGACAACAGTTGGATATCCACATGCAAAAGAATGGATTGGACCTTACCTTATACCATGCACAAGTTTTTAAAAAGATTTATTCATTTATTTGAAAGGCAGATTTACAGAAAGGCAGAGGCAGAGAGAGAGAGAGAGAGAGAGAAAGAGAGGTCTTACATCTTCTGGTTCACTCCCCAGATGGCCCCAGTGGCCAGAGCTGAGCATATCCGGAGCCAGGAGCCAGGAGCCTCCTCCAAGTCTCCCATGTGGATGCAAGGGCCCAAGGACCTGGGCCATCTTCCACTGCTTTCCCAGGCCATAACAGAGCCGAATCGGAAGTGGAACATCTAGGACTTGAACTGACACCCATATGGGATGCCGGCACTGCAAGTGGCAGCTTTACCTGCTATGCCACAGCACCGGCCCCACCATGTGCAAATATTAAAATGGAACAAAGACCTAAACTTCAAAGCTTAAACTATAAAGCTCTTCAAAGAAATCATAGGTGTAAATCTTCATGCTCTTGAATTAGGTGGTGGATTCTTGAATGTAACACCAAAACCACAAATGAAAAGTGACGAAAGAATAACGGATAAACTGGAGATCATCAAAATAAGCATTTTTGTTTCAAAAAATTGCAATAAAAACACAAGGAGAATTTTACAGATTATGTATCTGGAAGAGGCTTATGTCTAAACTATATAAAGAATTATTGAACTTCAAAAGTAAAAATGCAGAAAGCCAAATCAAATATGGGTAAAGGATCTTTGATAGTAATTTCTCCAAAGATACTCAACAGATAAACAGAACAGGTTCTATATATTCAGTCTTCACAGAAATGAAAAATAAAACCTCCATGAAATACTACTTCACACCCACCAGGCAGGCTATAATCAAAAGGATGGACAAATAAAAGAGTGGGGGAGGAAGTAGAGGAATTCAAACCATCATATTCTGTTGGAGAGAATGTAAAAAGTTTTCTTTAAAGTTTATACATAAAATTACTGAGGCTGGCATTGTGGCATAAAGAGTAAAGCTGCCACCTACGATGCTGGCATCCCATATGAGCGCTGGCTGGAGTCCCGGATGCCTCACTTCCAATCCAGCTCCTTGCTAATGGCCTGGGCAAGCAGCGGAAGATGGTCCAGATCCTTGGGCCCCTGTACCCAAGTAGGAGATCAGGAAGAAGCTCCTGGCTCCTGGTCCTGGCTCCTAGCTCCTGGCTTCAGCCTGACCCAGCCCTGGCCATTGCTGCCATTTGGGGAGTGAACCAGCAGATGGAAGAATTAAAAGGCCCCCCTCTCTCTTGCTCTCTCCCTTCTGATCCAGCTGCCTGCTGGATGCGCCTGTAAAAGCAGTGGAGGATGGCCTAACTGCTTGGGCCCCTGCATCCATGTGGGAGACCAGGATGAAGTTCCTGCCTCTTGTCTTCAGCCTAGCCCAGCCCTGGCCATTGAGGCCATTTGAGGAATGAACCAGCATGGAAGATCTCTCTCCCTCTCTCTGTAACTCTACCTTTCAAAAAAAAAATTAAATCTTTAAAAATGATTTATGCAGTGGCATATTATTAAAAAACAAAAAGAAATTAAGTGCTGATAAATACTACAATAAATCTATTAAGCTTTAAACATATACTAAGTGAAAAGCTGTTCACAAAAGACTACATGCTATTTAATTTCATTTACAAAGAGCATATATTGTATGATTTCATCCCAATATGATTCCATTCTGACAAGTAAATGAAATGCCCAGAATAGGCAAATCCAGAGAGGCAGAAAGTAGATTAGTGGCTGCCTAGACCTTGCAGAGGACGTAAGATTGACTAAAGTTTGCAGTTTTTTTGAGTATTAAAATGTTCTAAAAGTTTTCATAGTAATGGTTGCATAGCTTTGAATATACTAAAAGCCAGTGAGTAACACATTACATGGATGAGTAGTACATATGTGTAATGCATCACTCAAGCTATTGAAATAGTAAATTGTATAAAGAGTCAGGGGACAGAGAAAGTTAACACTGTGCTAACACTAACCTTAAGAAAACTGCGGTAGTTATATTAATTTCAAACAAACATGGCTTCCTAATAAGGAAAATCAGGGAGAAAGAGGAGTATTACATAAAGACAGATCAGTTCTCCAAGGAGACATAACAATACTTAGTGTATATGCACCTAACAATGGAGTGTCAAAATATATGAGGCAAAAACTGTTAGCAATGCAAGGAGAAATAGACAAATCCACTATTGCATTTGGAGACTTCAATAACTCTCTTTCAGTAATGTATAGTTCAAGCAGGCATAAAATCAGTAAAGATATAGTTGCTCTAAACAGCACTGTCAATCAACTTGATCTCATTGACAATTATAGCAGCCTCTATCTAACAATTGCAGAATACACATTCTTCTCAAGTTCACATGAACGGTTACCAAGATACACAACATTCTGGGCTATAAAACATTCTTCAATTTAAAAGACAGAAATTATATTGGTTTTCTAGGGCTGGTGTAACAAAGTATAGCCACATAACAACATTTTGGTCAATGACAGAACACTTATACAAGGGTAGTCTCATAAGATTATAATGGCAGTGAAAAATCCTTGCCAACTACTGATATTATAGCCAGCATTATAAGATAGCACAGTACTCACATGTTTGTGGTAAGGCTGGCATGAACAAACAAACTGCCAGTTTCATGAAAGCATAGCACATAGGATTATTTATAAGATGTGATACTTGATAATAAAAGTAATGGACTACTTACTAAATTATGTTCTTATATTATGCTTTTTAATCATTATTTGAGTGATTCCACAGTTTTAAAAGTTACTTTTTGAATTTTTTGTGTATTTATTTCTTTGAAAGACAGAGAGGTGAGAGGCAGAGAAATACAGATTGGAGTGGGGGTGACAGGGGAGAGAGAAACAGAGATCTTCCATGATCTGCTGCTTTTCACAAATGCCAGCAACAGCCAGGGCTGTGCCAGGCCAAAGGCAGCAGTCTAGAATCCATCTCTATCTCCATGTGGGCAGCACAGACCCCAAGTACTTGAGCCATCATGTACAGCCTCAGGATGTGCATTAGCAGGGAGCTGGAATTGGAAGCAGAAATGGAACTCAAACCCAGGCACTCTGATATGGAATGCAGGCATCCCAAGCGGCGTTTCAACCACTGGGTCAAACACCTGTCCCCTATTTATATTTTAAAAGGAAAGTTTGCTATAAAACAGTATGCCGTGTTATGCCAACTGTAGCCTCAAAACATCTTATTTTTACCATGCTTATTTATCGCCTCATTTTCTTTTTACTTGATTCATTCTCATGTTGTTTTGGTCACAATGTACCCTAATTATACAAAATCTGCTGCTAATGTTGCCAGTAACTACCCTCATTGGATGACTGAACTGAAAACAAATTTAATGTGGAGATGGGAGATCAGTGATGGCTATTGCTCACCAGACAGGCATGTCCCATTCCACTGCAGTTACAATCTTGAAGAACAAAGTGACACAAGCTGCTAAAGGATGTGCTTTATTGAAGGCAACAAGACTAACATAAATTGAAAAAGGCCTCTACAGGATGTGGAGAAACTTCTAAGGACTGGATTGAAGACCAACACGAAGTGTGTCCCTCTCCACACCATGACAATCGTGGGCAAATCAAAGTTTGTTTACAAGGTTGCACAAAATGGTTGGCACTGGCCATGTTAAATTTACTGCTAGCCCTGGGTGGCTTAAATAATTCAAGAATTATTACTCATTACATCATATGAAGGCAAATAGTGGGATTGCAAGTGCTGATATGGAGGCACCAAAGAAACACCTGATAAGGTGATTTTGGAGGAAAATTACTTATGAAAGCAAATCATCAATGGGAATGAAATCTCCAGATTCTGGAAATAGATGCCTGAATGGGATTTCATCCACAAAAAGGCCAAGTCAGTGCCAGGATTCAAGACTTTTGAGGACAAGATAACAGTTTTGCTCAGGAGCAATGTTCAAGCTACAAACAGAAACCTTTGTGATCTGACACAGCAAGAACCCAGGAGCCTTGAAGCCTATCCATAAACTCCCACTGCCAGTGCACCACAGGAGCAAACGGAAGTCACAGATGACCCAACTCCTTTTCCATGAGGCCCTTTCAAATGACTAAGCCAGCAAGATTGAGAAATACTGTTTGTAGAGTAACATATCTTTCGGTATTTACTTATTATCCATAGTGTTCATACGTATCCTTCCTTGATTGGTGATCTTTGTATGACCATCAAAGTGGTATTTCTTTACCTGAATTCCTCCTCTTTGGTCCAACAAATCATGGAGTTGTAGCCTTTTTACGACTTACTGCCAGAGGAAGATCATCGCCCAGGTTATTGCCACAGCTGAGGAAAACACTGGGGAG